ACTGATAAGTAGTTTTATGCTTATGAGAATTAGGTACACCCTGTATCTTCACCCATCTTATTTGCCATACTTAATTTTCTTTTTCAACAATTCCAAATGAGTTAGTCAGAAAGCTAATTTTTTTTTCAGAAAGCTTCTTCACCACTGAGCACTCTATCTGCTTTCTATAATCTATTAATATTATAATAATAGAAGAACAACACCAATAATTTACCAAGAACATAAATGTCCCAGATGCTATTACATCCTTTGCATATATAATTTCTAATTGTCTCAACAATTATATGAAGAAGTATTTTCCAAAGCATTTTGTCAGTGAAAGAACCGAGATTTGGAGCAGCTGCATTGAACAAGATTATTCCTACGCTAAGTGGGAGGCTTGTCTTCAATCCTGAGTCTCTAGGACTGGACACCCAGATTGTTCCTAAGAGTTCCCATTGAGAACATATTAAACAAATGTTTTGTAGGGGAAGAACCCTTTTTTCTTTCCTCTCTTATGTCCTCCATCTGGGGTCCTGCAAATTAGACTGACAAAAGACATATGAGCAAGAGAAAAATGAATACTTTATTAACATGTGTAGCTTGCAAGAGAAATTCAGTAATGAGTAACTCAAAGGAGTGTTTAAAACCCAGATTTATAGAGCATCTTAACAAAGATCAATATTTGTACAAAACTGAAAAGCCAAAAAAAATACAAGTTTTTAGGCTTCCAGAGGTTGCAAACTTCGGGAAGGTAAATATATGGGGGAAACAGATGTAAGGTAAGGAGTATCTTAGCAAGGTTTGTTTATGCAGAACCATCTGGTAGCCAAATTTCTATCTTCTTCAGGACCATAAAACTTGCTGGAAGGAGGGGATTTGTGGCAGGCCTCATTTCTCAGAAGCTTCTGCCTCTAGTTATGTAATGGAAGCTCTGAGAAGGCTTAATTCTGCATGTGTGGATTTTCTTTTGCCTCCAGCTCATAAGGATTTTCATGCCAAAGTGTCATATTTTGACGTGGCATATTCTGATACCCTATGGCTTCATGGAAATGATGGAAACATGTACCAGCTCTTACTAAACTGGCCCCAAATACTCCATGCAAATCTTACAGAAGTGTTTCAGAGGAAAGTTATATTTAGAAATAACATAAAGGTGATATTCAGAATGCAACCATGGGTCAGACTTTATACCTGTTCCCTTTATTTATTTTTGTGAGGGCAATGGACAATAGAGGCCACTTTTCATCCCTTCAGAAATAATATGTCAAAAGAGTCCTCAAAATTCATTTGTTCTAATAAAGATCTCAGTAGGATGTTAATTTTGGATGGTTATAATAAATAACAATGCAATTTCTACAAGAAGAGCAAACACTGTCTATGTGGAATAGCCAGATCCTGATTCTGTGCTTACTGCTTCCAAGAATTTGACACATTAATGAGATGAGTGGGTGAAGCAGAGAGAAACGTTGTTCAGACCTCATTTCAACTTTCATCTGTCTATATCAATCACTTCACTTGTTTTCTTTTTAAAATCTTACTTTTTCAGATTTTGCTTATTTTGTGCAGAGGATGAGGCTTAAGATGAATTTAATCTTGTCTTAGTAGATTCTTTAAGCGCAGAATACAAATTAATGATATGATATATATAGAGAGAGAGAGGAAGCATTTGTAGATAATATGAAGTAAAATGAAAACACTTTCATAAGCCTAAAACATATTTAATTTTCACATATTTTTCTTACAAATTTTTAAAAATCTACTAGTTACCCCAATATAAAAATAATAAATTTAGAAAATACAGAAAGATAAAAAATAAAAATATTTCTATATTTTCTTCCAGGATCTATTTATCTCATAACTGTGATTATAAAGGTATCACATAAATGATATAAACGGTTATAAGGTGAATTTTGTGTTTTGATAGCCTAATTGAGTAATTTATTTGCTGATGAAAACTATCAAATAATACTGTGGATTAGCTTTGGAGCCTTTCATCAGCTTAACACACTTCATGACAAATTCACAATATAAGAACATGAAATTAGATGAACAAAACTTTGATCAGTGGCCACAGCACTGAAGCAGTTATTTCAGTGCTGTAAACCTCAAGTGTTACAAACCTAAAGATCACTGTCCTCTCAAGAGTCTACCCTAAATGCCTCTAGAGAATCAAGGCCTCTTTTCCCCTTCCAGTTCAGGTGACTGTCTCTTCTTGGCCGACTTTACCCTGGAAATATTCAAGGAAGGAAATTCTGGAAAATGTAGTTCTGTGAGACCACAGAAGGATGTGGTGTGATGCCAAGTTAACAGCAGACAATCTACCACATTATATTGTAAAATAAGTTAAAAAGCTGGATGGACTTTAATGATCCCACCTTAAGTATGGTCATTAAAACTCATTATTACTTCTTCCTGCCTATAGGTACTCCAGGCATCCTAAACTTTGAACAGAAAGGAATCTTAGCTTAGGTTCTATAAAAACATTGAATATGGTAAAGAGTAAACATAAATTGTTCAGTTCTGAACTTCTTCTTCTCCTATTTACATTTACTCCCTCGGTGTTCCAATGTAGATTTGTGGATTGAATTATCATGTATACACTGACAACTCTCAAATCTGTTTCCAGCCTTGACTTTTCCTGTTCTGTCATGAAAATATTTCCAGTATCCAACCAACCCTCACTTTGATGGCTTCCACCTTAACCCAAGGCAAACATGATCAATCACCTGCTTTAACTAGAGTCCCAACTTTGATCAGTAGCCTTTTATTCTCAACAAAGCAGATAGAGTATATAGGTAATTCTTTTAAAGTTATGTATCAATCCTCTGACCAGAACCCTTTAGTGGCTTCCACTCTTGTTCAAAACAAAAGTTCAGATTCATCTCAGTGTCCTACAAGGTCCTGGATATCTGCTCTTATGATCTTTCTGACTTCACTTTCTATTACTGTCCCACAACACTTCATTCCAGCCCCACTGGACACCTTGTCATTTCTCTGCTACACCAAGCATCTTCTTACATCAGGGTCGTTGAACTTGGTCTTCTTTCTACTTTGGGTACTTACTTCACTCAGGATTCTGATCAAAGTCACCTTCTCAGTAAGTCCTTCCTTGACTTTTCTATATAAAATAATGTCTTACCCAGGCACTACTAAGGAAAGAGAGAGACCCTCTCATATTGTTTTATACTCAGTACCTGTTTCAAGAAAAAAACAAGGAAGTGAAACCAAAGGCAGGCAGCCCAGCACCAGGCCCAAAACCAGGCCTGGGCCTGCCTGGCCTAAACCCAGTAGTTAAAAATCAACTCATAACTTAGAAACCGATGTTATTCACAGCTTCCAGACATTGTATAGAAGAACATTGTGAAACTCCCTGCCCTGTTCTGTTTCACTCTGACCACTGGTGCATGCAGACCCTGTCACGAACCCCCTGCTTGCTCAATCAATCATGACCCTTTCATATGAAATCTTTAGTGTTGTGAGCCCTTAAAAGGGACAGAAATTGTGCACTTGGGGAGCTCGGATTTTAAGGCAGTAGCTTGCTGATGCTCTCAGCTGAATAAAGCCCTTCCTTCTACAACTTGGTGTCTGAGAGGTTTTGTCTGCCACTCGTCCTGCTACATTTCTTGGTTCCCTAACTGGGAAGCAAGGTAACAGACGGACGGCTGAGGCAGCCCCCTTAGGTGGCTTACGCCTGTCCTGTGGAGCATCCCCATGGGGGGACTCCAGCCAGCCTGAGTGACACGATCCAAAGAGCACTCCCGGGTTGGCTATTGCCTCGGTGGAACGCCTCACCACAGCAGCACGTAGCAGGCCCCTGAGGAGGATTAGCACAGTGGCTGAACACCGGGAAGGAACTGGTACTTGGAGTCTGGATATCAAAAACTTGGTAAGACTAGTCTTTGGAACTTGCCCACTCCATTTGAGTGGAAGCATGGCCTGATCACCCACAGCATGCCTTTATTGGCACTTTGGTGTTGGTTTTGGTTTTGACTTGGTTTGAATTGCTTGACAGGACTGGTCTTGGGAACCTGCCTACTCCATTTGAGTAGAAGTGTGGCCTGATCACCCACGGTGTGCCTGTACCGGCACTTTGGTTTCTGTTTTTGACTTGACTTATGTTGCTTGATACTTTGGTTTTGGTTTTGACCTGGCTTGGATTTCTGGATACTCTGATTTTGGTTTTGATTTTGGTTTGGTGTAAACTGCACAAGTGTGGGTGTGCCCTTTTTACCTGTTTTTTGTTTTGTGGTGTGCGTGTGGTTGTGAGCGTGGTGTTTTGTCTCAAAGAAGCATGAGTCAGACACAAATTAGCCCACCCCACTAGGAATTATGTTAAAAAATTTCAAGAAAGGGAAAAAAGGGGGAAGCAGAATTTATATAAAAGGAATGTTATATGTTAAATTCTTGTCCTGAAATAAATTAACTGGTTGTTTAAAGAAAAAAGTTTGTAATAAATCAGAAAGTTGAGATATGTCAAAAAATTGTCTGCAAAAGTCATGAAAGAAAAAAAAATTTTGCAAAAAATGTTGCATGATTTAAAAGTAATAAGGCCTCCTGAGCACTATTGAAGAAACAGTTTATGTGCAAGGTGCATAAGGAAAGTAAAATATACCTTTAGTAAAAAGATTATAAGGAGGCATAAGAATGTGGATTTTTACCTACATTAAAAGGTTAAAAAAATTATTGTTTTGAAAGTTTAAGCAAGTTTTAAAATGTTAATTGTAAAGAAAATTCTGTGTGTAAACATATTAGTTAAAGTTAAAAAGTTATCCAGTTTTTCTGTGAACTGGACATTAAAGTAAAAATGCAACAACTTTTTCTTAAAGCATCAACCTGCTCTTTAACATAAGTTATGAAAGGTTAAAAAGAGTCTATAAAATCTTACCTTGTGGTCAAACATGAAAAATTGGATAAATATGTCTACAAGGCTTTATTAAAATTAAGTTCAACATTAATAACACACTAATATAAAGGTAAAATTTAGCTTTTCTGGTATAAAAATCATACAAGAAGCATTATTAAATATAAAATGGTGTTTAGCTTTCTTTAGTCTAAAAACTAATAAAGATAGGTGCTAAAGGAAACATTCATTTTACTAGAGGATCATAGAAGTTAAAGACTTAAAACAAACTTTGACAATTAAGACAGCATACCAGAATGCAAATGCCTGGTTAAAATGGATCACATATTCCATCTGCACGTTAAACAAAACCAATTGTTTGCTTGTGCACATGGCAGGTCAGAGGCCCTGACTGTCCCACTTCCACTAAGGTGATCCTCCAGTCAACCAGGCATGGGCTCTTTTCCAGGATTCTACAGCCTGGAGTAATAAGTCATGCCAAGCTCTCTCTGCTATATCCCAAAGTCCGTGCGGGTCAGCCCCTGAGGGCCATCCAGCTGCTGTCTCCCAACACTAAGTTCACTTCGTGTCTCTCACGGCAGGGAGGAAACTTGGCATTCCTTGGAGACTAGAAAGGATGCAATGAGCTTAAGAATTTTCAAGTGCTTATCAATCAGCCAGCCCTTGTTCATCCCCGAGCGGATGTGTAGTGGTACTGTGGTAGACCCTTACTGGGCATTCTGCCTAATAACTAGAGTGGCACTTGTGCTTTAGTCCATTTGGCTATCCCTTTCACCCTGGCATTTTATTAACCAGAGAAAAGAAAAAAAATAAAATAATAAGACATCATAAAGCTAGAGAAGCCCTTTGTAGGTCTTTCAACTCTCACATCTATTTAGATGCAATTGGAGCCCCACAAAGAATGTCAGATCAATTTAAAGCTTGAAATCAAATAGTTACAGGATTTAAGTCAGTATTTTGGTAGATGACAGTCAATAAAAATGTAGATTAGATAAACTACATCTATTAAAACCAACAGCACCGGGCTTTTCATGAGTTAAAAAGAAAAACTCATGTCGGCCTCAGTCCTGAGGCTACCTGACCTGACAAAACTCTTTACACTCTATGTGTCAGAAAGAGAAAAAATAGCAGTTGGAGATTTAACCCAGACTGTAGGGCCCTGGCCAAGGCCAGTGGCCTATCTCTCAAAACAACAGGATGGGGTTTCTAAAGGCTGGCCTCCGTGTCTAACAGCCTTGGCAGCAACGGCCCTGTTAGCACAATAAGCAGATAAGCTATCCCTTGGACAGAACCTAAATATAACAGCCCCTCATGGGGTGGTAACTGATGAATAACTAAGGACACCACTGGCTAACTAATGCTAAATTAACTAAGTACCAAGGCTTGTTAATGTAAAAACCCCCACATGACCATTGAAGTCTGTGACACTTTAAATCTTGCCGCCTTGCTCCCAGTATCTGACAGCCCTGTTAAACATAACTTTGTAGAGGTGTTGGACTCTGTCTATTCTAGCAGACCAGATCTTTGAGACCAGCCATGAGCATCAGTAGATTGGGAATTATACATGGACGGGAGCAGCTTCATCAACTCGCAAGGAAAAAGGTGCGCAAGATATGCGGTAGAAACCTTGGATGATGTTGTTGAAGCTAAGTCATTGCCTCAGGGCACTTCGGCCCAAAAAGCAGAACTCATTGCTCTCACTTGGGCTCCGGAACTCAGCGAAGGTAAGATTGTAAACATCTGTACTCATTCTCAATATGCCTTTCTAACCCTTCAAGTACATGGAGCATTGTATAAAGAAAAAGGCCTGTTAAATTCTGGGGGAAAAGACATAAAATATCAACAAGAAATTAGGCAGTGTAGAAACCACAAAGGGTGGCAGTCATGCATTGCAGGGGACACCAGCGAGTTTCCACCTCAGTGAGCCAAGGAAACTCCCGAGCAGACACAGAGGCATGAAAAGCATCATCTACTTCTTATCGGGCATCAGTCACAGACCCACTACTCCCTCAAATGCTTGGGGAGGTGCCAACTTATTCTAAAGAGGAAAAAGATTTTCTTCAGGCAGAAGGAGGACAAACAATAAAGGAAGGATAGATAAAGTTACCAGATGGAAGAATAGCTGTGCCACAGCTGCTAGGAGCCGCAGTCGTGCTGGCTGTACATGAAACTACCCATTTAGGCCAAGAATCACTTGAAAAGCTGTTAGGCCGGTATTTCTACATCTCACACTTGCCAGCTCTTGCTAAAACAGTAGCGCAGCAATGCCTTACCTGTTGATAGCACAATGCAAAGCAAGGACTCTCTGTGCCTCCTGGCATATGAGCCTATGGAGCGGCTCCTTTTGAAGATCTCCAAGTGGACTTCACAGAGAGGCCTAAATGTGGAGGTAACAAGTATTTACTGGTTCTAGTGTGTACTTACTCTAGGTGGGTGGAGGCTTATCCAACACGAACTGAAAAAGCTCGTGAAGTAACCCGTGTGCTTCTTCAAGATCTCATCCCTAGGTTTGGACTGACTCTACGCAATAGCTCAGATAATGGGACGGCATTTGTGGCTGACTTGGCATGAAGCCTGCAGCCGCTGAGACCTGGGATGCCAAACCAAGCATGAGGAAAATCATCGTTGTGGTACTTATTTTCCTTATAACATGGACCTGTGTGGTAAAAGCTTCCACTGCTTCTTCCCACACAGAGAACTGGCCTCAGTGCATACATCAGGTCACTGGGGTAGGACAAGTTAAGGCAATCTTTTTATTTTATAGCTATTATGAATGCCTAGGAACTCCAAAGGGAATCTGTTTGTATAATGACACCCAGTACAAAGTATGTAATCCAGGAAGTGACCAGCCCAATGTGTGCTATGACCCTTCTGAACCTCCCATGGTCACAGTCTTTGAAGTAAGACTAAGGACTGGTCCTTTTCTAAGAGACAAAAGTAAAGTAATAGTTGGAACAGAAGAAAGAGGGGTCCTCAAAAATGAAACCTTAAAATTTGATTCCCGTGCCATGATTAATAGTAAGTAGCATGAGATAAGATGCAGTTTTCTAGATTGGGAAAAAAGTTACACAGCAGAAAATAAGTATATCTTTCAAAAATCATATTTATGTGAGATGTGTCAATACTGGTCTTGTGTCATTTGGGCTACTTGAAAAGAAGATTAAAAGATCCCATTTAGCTCCAAAAAGGAAAAGTCAGCCCCTCCTGCATGAGCAGGAGCTGCAACCCTTTAAAATTGGTAATCACAAACCCCTCAGACCCAAAATAGAATAAAGGAAAATACATAACATTAGGCATTGATGGAAAAGGATCTCCTAGCATAAACATCCTAATAAAAGGAGAGGTTCAAAGATGCTCTCCAGAACCAGTATTTCAGACTTTCTATGATGAATTAAATGTGCCAGTACCTGAGATTCCAGAAGGAAGTAAAAATTTGTTTTTGCAATTAGCTGAACATGTAGCCCAGTCTCTAAAATTCACTTCATGTTATGTTTGTGGAGGAACTGTAACAGGAGATCAATGGCCATGAGAAGCCTGAGAATTAGTTCTTACAGACCCAGTTCCTGATGAATTCCCGGCCCAAAAGAACCACCTTGACAATTTTTGGGTTCTAAAAGCCTCAATTATTGGACAGTATTGCATAGCTAGAGAAGGAAAAGGATTTACTCATCCTGTAGGGCGGCTTAGTTGTCTTGGTCAAAATCTGTATAATAGTACCACAGAAACAGTTACATGGTGGAGTTCCAATTACACAGAAGGAAATCCATTCAGTAAATTTCCAAAGCTGCAGACTGTTTGGACCCACCCAGAATTCCACCAGGACTGGACAGCCCCCACAGGGTTATACTGGATATGTAGACACAGTTTATGCTAAGCTGCCTGATCAGTGAACAGGTAGCGGTGTAATTGGCACCATTAAGCCATCTTTCTTCTTACTGCCCATAAAAACAGGTGAACATTCCAGACTTCCCAGTCTATGCTTCCCATGAAAAACGAAGCATAGACATAGGTGATTGAAGAGATGATGAATGGCCCCCTAAAAGAATCACACAGTACTAGGGACCTGCCACTTGGGCACAAGATGGCTCATGGGGATATCAGACCCCCATCTACGTGCTCAACTGAATCATACGGTTACAAGCTGTTTTAAAAATTATTACTAATAAAACCGGTCAAGCCTTGACTGTTCTTGCCCAGCAAGAAACTATGATGAGAAATGCTATCTATCAAACAAGACTAGCTCTTGACTACTGGCTAGCAGCTGAAGGAGGAGTTTGTGGAAAATTTAACCTTACTAATTGTTGTCTACACATAGATGATCGGGGCAAGTAGTTGAAGCTAAAAATGTAACAAAACTGGCACATGTACCCATGCAAGTGTGGCATGGACTTAATCTGGGAGCCATGTTTAGAAATTGGTTCCCAGCAATAGAAGGATTTAAAACTCTTATAATAAGAGTAATAATAGTAATAGAAACCTGCTTACTGCTCCCTTGTCTGATACCTGTAATTCCTCAAATGATAAAAAAGCTTCATCACTACCTTAGTTCACCAAAATGCTTCAGCACAAGTGTACTATATGAATCACTATCAATCTATTGCACAAAAAGACATAAGTAGCAAAAATAAGAGTGAGAACTCCCACTAATAAGAAGTGAGAGTCTCAAAGGGGGGAAATTAGGAAAGAGAGAGACCCTCTCATATTGTTTCATACTCAATACCTATTTTAAGGCAAAAACAAGGAAGTGAAACCAAAGACAGGCAACCCAGCACCAGGTCCAAAACCAGGCATGGGCCTGCCTGGCCTAAACCCAGTAGTTAAAAATCAACTCATAACTTAGAAACCGATGTTATTCACAGCTTCCAGACATTGTATAGAAGAACATTGTGAAACTCCCTGCCCTGTTCTGTTTCACTCTGACCACTGGTGCATGCAGACCCTGTCACGAATGCCCTGCTGGCTCAATCAGTCACTACTCTTTCATATGAAATCTTTAGTGCTGTGAACCCTTAAAAGGGACAGAAATGGTGCACTCTGGGAGCTTGGATTTTGAGATGGTAGCTTGCCAATGCTCCCAGCTGAATAAAGTCCTTCCTTCTACAACTTGGTGTCTGAGAGGTTTTGTCTGTGGCTCCTCCTGCTACACTATTATCCCTCTTTTTATTTGCTTAAATTAATCCTTGGAAAATGTCAATATATATGATATAATTTTTTATTTTTGTCTCTTTTTCCCACTAGATTTTAAGCTTCATGAAGAAGAGAACTTTGTCTCATCCACTGCTATATCCAAAGAAGAAAGAGCAGATCCCAGCATTTTGTAAACACCGAGTAAGTAATCTGTGAATGAATAGATGAATAAAAACTGAGTTGCGTTGAGAAATGATGACACAGATGTTACTGGCAAGCAAACATTTAGATTCATCCATAATAAATAAGTGTATTGATATATCCAAGAAACAAGGTGTCTACTGCATAATTAAGCTCATTTATCTAAAGTATTAACAACTCTTCTTTAGTTTGATATGTACTCAGTCATTTCTATTTTATTGGACTCTAACTTAATATAATATGCTGACTGGCTATGGAGTATCCCTTCTTCATAAAATAGCACAATAACTCCAGGTTCTTTAGAAAAGTAAGATTATGCCATTTTTTACTTTCCAAATAAGCACCAGCAATACAAACATTTTACCTCTTTTTCGATATCTGAAGATTTACTTTGATTTGGTTTTTAACTGGGTTTCTGATCAGATTTCCCAATATTTTGCACTGACAATTTCTATTTGAATTTCCTCTCCCTTCCTCTTTCTCAACTTCACTCACTGCCTTCCTTCTGCTTGAATGCTCTTCCAGCATTGATTTGCTTATGAAATATTTTCTCTGCATCTAAGACTTATTTCAAGTGCTAATACCCTGGCCAATCCTTTCCTGATTCACATAGGTTAGATGAAGGCATTCCTCTTATGCTCTTATTGCACCATGACCACAGTTTTTGAAGGAAGAAGCAGTATATATCATATAAATATCCCTACTGCCTTTTGTATTGCCTTATTCAGAGTACACACTTCTTATATATCATTTTCTGAATGAATAAGTGAATGAATTCATGCAGGGAAAACAAAACTAGCATCCAAAACTAAATAGCAGCTCCTGCATTCTCACAATTACTGTTGAAATCACAGTGTTTTATATTCTAGAGACATAAAGTTCTACACTGAGAAAAAAGCAATGCATTAATTTCTGTAATGTCACATACCTTGAACTCTGAGGGACAGAAATATTTAATTTCCTAATGTGAAAATGTACTTTAAGGAAATTAAACCAGCAATTTTCTCACTCAAGTAATATGTTTTATTTTAACTCAATGAATATATTTATAAAATACTTTAATATCTATAAATTTTTCTTCTATAAAAATTAATAGATCTGGTAAAGTTTAGTCACTAATTAATGTAAATGCAGAATATTTTGATTTTTTGAATGATATTCTTAATTTCTGTAGCTTAAAAAATTATGAAACAACTCATATTTCTAACTTCATCCTCTTGCTGATACCCTACTCTCTTCTTATTCTTATTGGCAGTTAACTTGTTTTGCCTGCCAAGTGAGTCATTTGAGATGGGAACATTTCTTGATTAGAACCTACTTGGGTCAAGTTAATATAAAGAATAGATAAGAATGAAAGAAAATAAATACCATGCTTTATGAATACACAGAAAAACATTTGTATATAAGTGAATTGTTTAGGAAACAAAGTTTCTAGATAATGAAAAAAAAATGCTGCTGGATATCAATCTTACTAATTTTAGAATTAAAATATAGTGCTAAAATGGCTACTACTCCAAGACCTATATGAAATTCAAAGAGCCAAAAAGCTAAATATTAGTTTAGTGGTGAAGGAAACCAAAATATGCCACAGCAAAATATGTTTCTTTGGTATATTTTGAGATAGCTATTTAGAGGGGTTGCAGACACAGGAATAGCTATGAAAAGCTGTCCTTTTGTGGAAGAGATTTGCATCTGTAAAGGAAATCTACATTAGTGAAATAAACAACAGATGCAAATAGGCTTTATCTGACCCCACCCCCCACACTTATTTGCCTTATCTGAATCTAGGAAGTGATTAACAGAAAAGGAGACTAAAAATCTGAAACTTTTAGAAGTTTCACAGAGAACATTTTACTATGGGCTCCCGTCTATTCTTTCTCAGGACTGCTACTGGTGAAGCTTCATCTACATCACAGGAAAGCCTTTGCTCACCATGCCTTTCCTCCCCTCCTGTTTTCACAACCTGTCACCATGCTTCAACACTCTTTTCCTTTCTCTATGAAACCAAAACCTCAGTCATCTGGCTCTTCTTTGAGTTTCATATTTTGTATGACTCCTGTGTGCACACATGCACATGCAATAAATTCGTATGTCTTTTCTCTTTTAATCTGTCTATAGTCATTTTATTTTATATACTCAAATATCAAACTTTCCTACAATAGTTTTTAAGGTATATCCAAGGATTCTTTGATATTTCTCTTGGAAAATTGGAGCTTTGTACTCCCTCCCTTAGTGTAGGATAGACTTAGTAATTCATTTCTGGCAAATATAATTGTAGAAGGGTAAGACATTACTTCCAAGATAGTTTATAAAGCAATTGTGAATGTTATGTTGCACATATTCAACCTTTCTTTCTCCTCCCCCACCCTCATCACTCACTCTGGAGAAAACCATGCTACCATGTCACAGTGTAAATGAGGCAGTTATGGAAAGGTACAAACTTACTTTTATGTACTGAGGACACTCGAGAAGCCTAATGGAGAGGTTCACATGGCAAGGAACTGAGGCCTTCAGACAACAGTCACATTAAGTAGGCTGTTCTAGAAGAGAATCCATCAGTCTGGTCAAGATTTCAGATGTCTTTGGTCTGAGCTGATGCCTTGACTACAACTTCAGGAAAGATCCTGTATTAGTTTTTTACTGCTATTTAATAAATTACCACACATTAAATGGCATAAAACAACATATATTTCTTATCTTATATTTTTCATGAATCAGGATTTCAGACACAGCTTAGGAGGGTTCTCTGTTGAGGGTTACACAAGGCTAAATTAAAGCTAAGCTTCACTGCTTTAAGGAGCTCAGGATATTCTTCCAAGATGCTTGCTGACAGAATTTATTTCCTTGCAATTGTAGAATTCATGGTGGCTTGCTTCTTCAAGGTCATTCGTCCAAATAAGTTAGACCTATAAAGGATAATCTCCATTTGATCAACTAAAAGACAATAGATTAGAGATTTAATCATATCTGGAAAATCCTTTCACTTTTGCCATATTCTATTGATTAAAAGAGGATTACATAAATGTTTGAATACTAGGAGTCAGGAAGCTTGGGGCCATCTCAGAATTCTGTCTACTACAGACTCTAAATGAGAACTACCCACCTAAGCTTTTCCTAAATTAGTGACCCATATGAGATAATAAATGTTTGTTTTATTAGGTTACAACATTTTGGGGTATTTTGTTACACAGCAATAAATAACGAACACGATGAGGTTATAGTTGCATAAATTACACTCTGGGAAGGAGTATATAATATTTTCACTGTTTTCTTCATGGTTCAGGAAGTCCAGTTCTGCTCAAAGTAGTTGTTAAAGAGTACCATATTAAGTAAGGGTATAATCTTTGGGTTTCATGTGAAGAACTTACAGGAAAAAAAATGCACAAAGACAGCTAGAAGTGTTAAAATATAATCCCAATACTCAATGATTAAAATAAGAAATTGATACAGAACTGGTACTAATTCTTACATCGGAGCTGTTCATTTTGAAAGCACTGAAGCTTTAGCATAATACCATTTTTGGGGTCAAAGTGGAAATTTAGAAGCAGAATCACAGCAAAATCAAATCAAAAAATATTTCTTGCTAACATATGAGTAATTAAAATGTAACGTATTAAAAATTATGAAATATTTAATTTTTATTAGAAACGAGTGCAAATTAAACAAAATTCTTCTTTCCACATCAGTGCACAATGTAATCTTTCTTTATGAGTAACGTAATAGTAATTAAGAGTGATGGCATTGATACAAGTTTATGTAAAAAGATTACTTCATTATACATAAAACTAAAATTCTATGAAAATAATTCTAACTTTTAACATTTTCAAAGAGATTTTTCTGTATAACTTCCCATTTCAATATATACCTAATCTTCTTGGGGATAAGCATTTTTATTATATGTAAGTTAATTATGTATAACTCAAAACATATAAATTATCTGTAAACATCTTGCGTTCAAATATTTGTTACTTAATCTGCTGCTTTTATGATTTGTTTGACATAGTAAAATGTGTATTTTAATAAAATAATTAATTCAAAAAGATAATATTTTAATAAATATATTGACTGCCTTTCTGCCAGGAGAAACAACTCAAAAACCTAAAGAAGACAGGTCTGCTTTACTGAGATCATTTGCAACAATCAAATAAATAGTGAAATTTATTTGTTGTTTCAAAAGTGAGGAAAGATGAAGAACTAAATATAGCTATAGGGATATCTTTATTGTTTTGATGAATTTCTAGTATAGATGTGATATGTTTATTCATATATATGCATAAATATAATTTTAAACCCAAATAAAAAGTGATTTTAGACTTTTAACTTTTTTGCTTATTATACATTACCATTACAGATATAGGAAAATATGAAGACTCTTTATATTGTTTGCTGATTCTTATACATTATCATTTTTGCAACATTTACAATAATAAGGAGTTGGTTCTATGTACAACCCTAAGTCTTATTTTTATGGCCAGCAGCACAACTTCCAAGTAGAAATGATGAATGAAAACAAGACAGTGAGAGGAAACAGTAAGCAATCAAAATTCTTGTCCTGAGGAGAAAGAGGCCTCTGATATCTAACTGGTGATAAGTTACCTTATGAATACAAGAATTCCAGAAACCGATTTTACAATATTGTCTTAAAATAATAAAATTCTAGAAATAGGATGTAGAGCAATGTTAAATGGTAGAATCAGCGATGAAAAAGCATTTTCATATCCATTGTTTTATTTAATCTTCACAAGTTCCTGTATGTGACTAATGGCAGGATATAAAATTTCTGCCATTTGTGAATAGGAAACTGAATCTCAGAAACATTAAGTTATTGGTCCAAAGTTGCATAGCTACTACATGACAAACCTATGAAATGAAACTCAAATTTTATTACTGGTTTTCTGAAGTTTATTCACTAGACAATGTTGACTTCACTCATCCATAAATATACTTTCAAAATTGGATCTCCATGAACTAATAAGAGCCAAGGAATCTTAATTTTAAAG